AAAAAATGGAAAACAGGCGCGTGGAAGAGTTGCAAGGAAAATATTTGGATGGGAAAATATGGCACATCAAACAAGTCAAAACCAAGGAAAATGAAATTATTTTCCAAGTTCCAAGGAAAAGATGGACAATCAAACATGGCCTAAGTGAAATTTCATTCAAATGTAAGTAGATAAGTTAAATCATTCGTCATCACTTGATTCCAAAGAGTTAGCTGATATAAGGAATTTATTTATGTAGAGATCATCTAGGTTTAGATGATAGGAAAACTTATTTATTAATAACTAGATACTAGTAAACTATTTAGACGATAAGTGAGGACCAATACTGCAATTTCCCTATATTCCAAGAAATTTCGAAGAAAAAAATCGGTCAGGGGTGGGATCCACTTAAATAAAAAAAATATTTTATGCAAGTGAGTCCTACCCCATGTGAGAGGGATGGATACCTTAATGTACATCTTTTGATGTACAAGTAGATTTATCTAAGAAAAAATCAACCTCCACTTTAACGGACGGATATTGCTATGTGTACATAGCAATAAACATAGGAGGATACATAATGTGAGAGGGGTGAGGGGGTGGAGCCCGCGCTACTGATACATATAGGAGGAGGTGGGGCTCCTTGACGGACACTCTCGTTCTTCAAAGTTCTGGACTCTTCTGTAGAAAAATAAAATAAAATATAACAGAACCTCCTAGAAACCTGTCCCCCTTCTTCTTTAAATCTCTGGAAACTTCTTTCTCCCTTCACCCTACTCATTTTATATAAGCCCAAACGCCATTGCAACCATCACCAGCAAGAAAATCTTTCCATAGAATCAACAAATCCAAATTACAGTTATTACAATTCGAGAGAATGGATTTCAGGCTAATGGGATTCGACACCCCACTTTTCCACACCCTCCATCACCTAGTGGACGCGGCTGAGGACGGCGAGAACAAGTCCATGAGTGCACCAACAAGAACCTACGTCCGAGATGCCAAGGCCATGGCGGCAACACCGGCCGACATCAAAGAGTACCCGAATTCTTACGCCTTCATTGTTGACATGCCTGGATTGAAGTCCGGTGACATCAAAGTGCAGGTGGAGGA